CAACACAATACACTGCATAGTGTACTATCCAAGCCAATTAATTACCCTCTTAAGCTTATAGCTTAAGCTCATGAATATTCATAAATCCTGATAACAAAGGGCTAAGTGAAGTCTCTTAGCAAATGGTCTGTTTCATTAAATTCTAAGACTCATAATATCTCTTAAGCACATAATATCGACAACAAATATAATATTGACAGTAAATATAACTACATTACAGTATTCTCATCTTTCTACCATAGAAATCATAGGTAATATTAAATACTTAATCACATATAAAATGTACAGTACCAATCGCACTGTATCATCATTGACAGTAGCGGCAGTAAAAAGCATTCAATAGAGACGCTGACCACAGCGTCTCCGGCAACGCACACAAAGCATTCATAGGTAACAAAGCGTTCAAGACGCTACACTAGATGTTTCGAAAACCCAGTAATTTAGCTAACTTTTAGCTCAGTAAAACATTCGTGGCAGCCATACACATGTTGCATTTGACCTACGACACGATCAAATTCTGGCGCCCTCTATATCTGTTAGAAATATCAGTTTCGGATGAAACAATCCCTGAATATGTTCTCAGCTGAGTAGACAATAAAATCGAGAGCGATGCCTTCGGATGTACAAAGTTCATAAAATTTTATGCCGAAACGAGCACGTTTTGTTTGAATGCACTGCTTGAAAAGTAGCCTCCCCTTGAATAAAAGAAGAGATTCATCCACACAAATATCTTTTCCGGGGGCATAGACACGCTGCATGCGATCTCTGACTTTCCTGATGAGAGGTCTTACTTTGTACAGCCTATCCCTATCAGGATCTCTAGGGTAGTAAGTGGGGTCCTCATTATTTGCAAAATGTAGATAATGTATGAGAAAGAACCTATCCCTTCTCATTAGTTGGCCAAATATAGGTGTTTCTAACAGATCATCCATAGACCAATACATGTCCAGCCTTGGCTTGTGAATAACACCCATCAGTCCAAGTAAACCGAAGAATGTCTTCATTTCATCAACTGTAGTGTCCACCCAGGCATGAACTCTAGAGAACTCCTTCAAACCTTCACGATTTGCCTCGATGAACTGCTGAGCATATCGGTTGGTCTCCACTACAATATGACTGAAGATGTCGTCGGTAAAGTACTGGGCAAAAAATTCATCAATAGTTGCATTTGCGCCAAGCCTAACTTTGAGTCGCTCACCACCAACGAAAGGAATTTGCTTGGGCTCATAACTGTCATTCATGTCAATGTCCCAATTTATCCTGGGGTTCTGAGCCCTTGCACGCCTTTGCCCCTGTCCTCTAGCCCGGCCTCTCTCATCTCTTACATCTCTGCCACCAATTTTGCCACCACGAATCCGTACACCTCGGCCAAGAATCCCACCACCACGTACACGTGCACCACATCTGCCTCTGAAGCCACCACGTGGGACCTGCGCTGGCTCATCTTCAGAATCGCTTTCATTACTTGAAAGCTCACTTTTATCAGAAAGAACAGCAGTTTCTTCATCAACTGACGAACGATCAGGACTAGGTGACTGCATTCGTCTAGGGCGCTTTGGTAAAGGATACGATTCATTATCAGATTCATCACCAGAATCTGCGGACAAGGCATTGCCACCTTGACCCTGTGCAGGGCCTCCCAAGTTGAGAGAATTATCGTTTTCGTTCTTAGAATCACTGTCGTCACTATCATAGTCGACTGGGGGAAAAGAAATGCAAGAATCATCCAATTCAAAGTTATCTTCACTATCCGTATCTGCAAAGATCTGGTCCATAGCTTCGTCGACATTGTACCGTCAGTTTTGAGGCTGTGCACCCGCCATTTTGCGCCTAACCACTCGAAAACACTTTTTTTCGATAAAAGGTTAATTATAGTTCATAGAAAAAACTATAGAGGGCGCAGAACCTCTTCCTCATTTTTAACAATATTTTTTCTACATACCCGGTAGTACCGGGTACGCGTAATTCAACAATAGTTAAAAAACAGATTTTTATGACCAATCATAATGCAACCATGGATATACTGTAATATACATTTTAAAGTAACCAAATGAAGTACGTTCGTTCAAATATTTTTCTAAAATCAACATTTACTATGTAAGCTTTCAGTAGGGTGGGAGGGGATACCAAAAAAGAGTAGTGTTTTTACACTTGTGATAATGTTGATAATTATGAACAACACCTATTTTCTTCTTTTTTTTTCCTCCACTTTTTCAGAAAATAAAATAAAATAAAATTAAAGGTTAAATTAAATTCAATATTACTGTAAATGAATAAAAAATAATAAATTTAATAATCATGTAGACAATCCTAAATAAAATGTGCGAGTTTCTTGATGTTTCGATTTACTGTATATACTTTATTTTCAGGAGTAAAAGTTTGCGAGTCCAAACTGAACAGTATATATAGTTAATAGATAGGACAGGGTTTGGGTTTATATGCCTGTAAGCAGAGGTGGATCTAGGTTATTCAATACGGGAAGGAGGTCCCTCTAGAAACCGGTGGCTTATCGTTTTACCCAAGGTGGCGTGGCTTCTTCCTGAATTTGACAAGCAAAAAATGTTTCTAGCCTGTGGAGATGCTAACATTAAACAGTTTTATCTCATCTGTCTTGAATTTTGGGTGGGCATTGTGTCTCTAAAAAAGACTGGAAAAAAAAAAGTATTTGGAAAATACTAAAATTAAATTCAATGCAATATTACTGTAAATGAATTTTCATGAGTGGCTTAACTTAAACATTTAAGCCAATGTGGTGTGGCCTCATCCTAAATCTGACAAGCAACAAAAATTTCTAGCCTGTGGAGATGCTAACATTACACGGTTTTATATTATCTGTCTTGAATTTTTGGTGGGCTTTTTGTCTCTAAGAAAGATTGTCAATTATAGCACCCCCCTCCCCACCCTTAAATCCACCCATGATAAGAGAGCCAATATTCACAATGTAATCATGGTGGGTTGGTGAGACATTTCTAAAACAATTAAATAGCCATGCACCCAAGCTCTGTTCAATCTAACTATATATACTCTCCAGTCTGGACTCCTGCATTCACTTATGAGATGATTGAACTCTCACAGTTCTTTTAATAATATTCTAATTGGTGTACTGCAAGGTTTATGATCATTATTGTTATTTCACCATGCACACCTTCAAACATTAATAATATATTTAACAAAACAATTCTAGATCTGTCTTATTGCAAGTAAGCTCTTGATAATTTTAGAGTTGATTAGGACTCGAGGTGACAGTAGCCTACAACTGTAAGTTTGTCTCTTTCTTTTAGAGAATTATACTATAAATATAAACTAAACCAAAAGTAATCTAAATTATATACTTAAAAATATAAAATAAAGGCAAAAAAATAAATTGAACGAAACAAAATCCCAAATTGGTTTCATGAGATTTTAATAGCATATTGTGTGCTTTTTGTTTTAGTGTTGTTAAATTTTTTATTTTTTTTAAATTTTTTTTTTATTTTATTTTTTTTTATTATTATAATTTTTATATTATTCGTCGTCGATGCTGAAATTGGCTTGCAAACTTGCTTTTTCCGACATTTTCCCAAGCGATATTACATCTAATCACAACGAAATCGCAGATTTTCTAATGTTATCTGTTTTTGTAGTCTTACTCTGTTTGATTTGTGATGCCCTTTGGTGAGTTTCTTCTTCAACTTTTTTTTCGTTAAGTCTTAGCCCTAGGCCTAACGAAAACATTCATTGAACTGTCATTCCTGAACTCGGTTCGTGCTATACCTTCTCCCTTTGTTTCTGCACCACGCGGCCTAGCCGTCATCGCTCGCTTTGGCGTGATCTCCAAATTATTCCAGACGACAAATCAGCGCTCAGACGCGTTTTCTATTGTTCTACCAGATGCGTCTCAAAACCCCCGTTCGATACTGCACCGTCTAGACGCTGATATTCCGTTTTGGCAAAAGCTCCTCCCACTCTTTACAGCCTACTGCACATGTTTGTTTGGCCGTCAAAACGGGTCCGAACGCGTCTGAATTGTTCCGCGACTATACGTTGAACTTTCAACAGCGTTGAGTTCAAGAGAGGGAAAGTCCATTCCGTCGTACACGGAGAAGTTAATGTCGAATATTCATAGGCTATTTATATTTTTAGACGAATTGGTGTTTATTTTGTGATAACTTATAATGAAATAAAACATGGAAAACTGTCACGAACGTTACTGTTAAGTGGGGCTTATTTTGAATGTACGGAAATGTATTATTATTCCAAGTTTGTAAATGAGGCCTATTTCATATGGCTTGCCTGCAATAAATGAAGTCTGAATTAATATCAAATTCATTTTCTCTTAAATTCTCAGATTCTCATAAATACGTAGAGATTTCATATGAATGATTTATTGAATATTAGTCTAATACACGGCCAAACCAAGAACACGAACATATATTCGTACAATTTAATTTTGAGATTTTTTAATTAACCAATTACAGTAGACCTAGGCCTAGTGCACTTGAACTATTATTTTCGCATCTAAAATATTATTAAAATGTTTATTTTAACATAAAATCAATTCATTCAGTTGTATCGATGCTTTTGCTTTGTGTCACGAACGGAAATAAACTGTTTGAAATAGCCATATTCCAAGTTGCCAGTACTGCAAGTTGCCTAGTAACCTTCACTGGACTTTAAACAATAGAAAACGCGTCTGAACGATGAGTGAGCGTCTGGACGGTTCACAATCGTTCAGTCGCGTCTTGAGCAGCTAATGAATATTCATAATTTTCACTAATTAGGTCCGATGATTTGCTAGACGCGTCTGAAATAGCGTGTTGGTCTAGACGCGTCTTTGTCGTCTGAAATAATTTGGAGATCACGCCTTTGTAGTTCCTAAGCTAACAACACCTGTGTGGAATTCTCACAATGTGGAACTTAACAAACGACTGCAGCCGCTACACCACCACACCACCTAGCCACTGGTCTAATTCAACCTCATGAAGCCGGAGATTGTTTCTCTATTATTCTAAATGAATACCTTATGGAGAATCCCGAATTTTAACTTTAGAACAAGCTCCGCAAAAAGGCTTTCCAAAGAACGGCTAGTGATTCTGATAAAACTGCCTTCTTTCAAGCACTAAGAGCTCACAACTATTTTAAGAAGCAAAAAGATAAGAACAATAATGTCAGAAGTACCAAATATACATTACATGAGTGCCCAATTCTTCCAACTTTTGATAAAGAATTGGCTGACTCATATACATTACAGCAAGAAATACTCTAATCAAGTTCTTATCGATTTTGAGCGTCTAAATTGGATACCAGAGATTCGGCCTTCGATTGATCATCTCGAAAAATATACCTTTTTACCCATAAAGCCTAAAGATATAAAGAAAAGACTCATGAGTAAGAAATCCAACTCTTCCCCAGGTCCAGACTCCATTACGTACGGAATTCTGAAGAAATTTCCATGCTGCCATCATTTCCTTGCTACGCTCTTTAGCAAGATTAATGAGTCTTGTATTCCTCCGTCTTCTTGGACTACTTGTAATGTTATCCCAATCTACAAGAACGGAGAAAGCAATGATCCCGCCAATTGCAGAATGATTGCACTATCCTCTTCAATTGGAAAATTGTACCATCAAATTCTTTCTGGAAACCTTGAGAATTATTTGATAAAGAACAACATCATAAACTCTGACCTACAAAAAGCATTTATCAAGGGTAACTCATGAAATAATTAGACATGCAAAAAATAAGCATAAAACTGTTCATTTCACATGGTTCAACCTGGAAGATGCCTTTGGATCGGTGTCACATGACCTGTATGTATGTATGTAGGTGTATGCATCTTCCAATATTAAAGCTCTTAAAGCTTTAACGTCAGCCTCCAAAGGTAGGGCTTCTGGTTTACGAAGTTTCTCATTTCTGGTTTTGTTCATTGCATATGAGGCATCTCCAAAAAGTGCATCATGATTAAGTTCAAACACTTCTACAAACTTGTCAATTTTTGTTGCTTTACAATCTTCATCATTAATCAGGTATGTCCCTTTGAGAATTTTACATGTTTTTTTAAAAGATAGTACAGTGCAATTTTTAGACCGTGCTTAAGGTCTCCAGTGTCCCCTTCCACATTTGTGTATGATAAAATTGCCTTCTCAATGTGTTGGTAATTCCTTCTAGAGAACATATCAGCTGCAGAGCCCTCTGTTACTGGTATAGTTCCCAACTCTCTTTCTTGTTCTTTAAAAATAAGATAAAGTGATCCCAACCGTCTCATGGAAGTCATTACCGATTTCCTAACTTCTCCTTTTTTGTCAACTTTCAAACGGTTCTTCATCCATAGTCTCTTTCCTACCAAACTAATTACTGTATCCTCCTTGCATGTTATTCCAATTGCGTCATCTCTGATTTTGCAAAGAATTTCACTGAAGAAACCATCATCATTGTCGCTAAACTTTGAAAATAAATTCATTGGAACTGAAGCTATTGGAACACTTGACTCCAACATACATTGCTTCTTATGCCTGTTTAAAAATTTTGCATGGTAAAAACCACAATAATTGGCACACATGATTGGTTTCCCAGATCCTGTTTTGCATGTACGTTCTTGTTGATATTGTGGATTAGCAAGACTTGACTGATATTTGTTTTCCTGAAGAATACCTTTCTTTTTAAATTTTCTGAACAGTTCAAACGTTCTTTTTTAGGAGCTTTCATAACATTTGCAATTTCTGGGATGTCTTTGTGCTTTAAATTGATATGTCTTGATAGTTTTGCTTGGAATATGCCACAGAATAGGCAACGTCTCTTCAGATTTTTATTTGTTGATTTTACACAACTAATCTGCTTCTCCAAAACATTATATTCCTTTGTCTGGTTTTTTTTATTTGTGAACTCCTGTCAATACTCACAGGATTTGTCACTGGAATTACAATACTCAAATCAGAATCGGAATAACTTTCATCAGATTCATATTTGTCATCATTTGGATCATCTCAGTCTGAATCAAAACTCTCAGAAACACGTTTAGTTTCGTCATTCAACCAAAAAGCTATGATCTTCACTAACCTCTTTTCTTATTGCAGAACCATTGACAACCTCGGTCTGTGTAACCACTTCAGACAACTCAACAACATAAGAATTAATCGGATCAGGTATCTCCTTCAGTGTGTGATCTTCATTGACTTCTTTTCTTACTACAGAATCACTGTCAACCTCAGTCTGTGTAACTATTTCAGTCATCTCAACAACATAAGAATCAAGCTGATCAGATATCCCCTTTGGTGTGTGATCCTCACTAACTTCTTTCATCATTTATCATAAGAATAAAAAATAATTACTGGTAATTCACAAAATACAGTATAATTTACTTGTAGAATTTGAACAATTCATAAATAACACACACATTCCAACAAAGCAACTTTTTCACCAATAATTTAATAAAAGTGTAGGCCTATTGGTTTCATGTAATTTTTGCATGCCCTAATAATTATTTCTGTTTTGTTTTGGAAAACATCTGTATGTACTTGTAAACATCTTGTCAATAAACCTCTTCTCATTAATGCATTCATGCATAGCACAGGCAATAAAAGCATACGAGAAGTTTCGAGCTAATTTGCCTGTTAATTAACAAAACTCATTGATTTGCATTTAGTTTTTGAATCAAAAATGAATATAACATTCCTAAAGCAACAAAATTTTTGTGTAGCAAGGGAAATACATCTTTAAAATTTCAATGCAAAATAAGGAGCTTACCAATATTTTCCATAAAAAAATAAAAAACTGCCTTGAGAACTAGTGTAATATAGTACAATGCAGCATAGTTTTGTAACTGCAATATAACTAGTGTGTTGTGTCTGTACAGAAAGGACAAAGTACATGGAATAATAGGTAAGTAATCTCATTCACATAGTACAGTAAATCAGGGGTTCTATTGTACCTACAGTACAAGAATGTTGTTTTTATAAATCTAATTAAAACGGAGTTGCGATCATTAGGCACCCCAATGAAGCCCGTTTCGCGGTACCACCCTCCAAAAATGTTCGTAAAATTTGTAAAGTGACACAAGTTTGATGTTCAAAATTTACTATTATTTTAAATGTTTGTCAATAAAAATAACATGTACTGAAAGAACTGCCTTTATTCTTCAATTACATGCCATTTTAATCTTCATTAAGAAGCAGAGAAAACACGATTTAAAAATTAATTGTAAAAGTAGGTATCCCAGTGAAATCCGTTTGCAGTACCAACCTCTGAAAATGTTTGTGAAATTTGAAGTGACACAAGTTTGATGTTAAAAATTTATTACTTATTTTAAACTTTTGTCAATAAAAATATCATTGAAAGAACTGGCTTTTTAAAAAAAAATTATACCAACAAATGAAAGTGCCGACAAATGAATGCCGCCAAATGAATGCCGACAATCGAACCCTGATGCATGTGAGCGTTACCGTAGTTTGTTGGAATACATCCCTGTTCTGATTTAACAGGATCCATTGTTAAAGTTTTGGATAGGCCTAAATGTTGAAAATGCCATTCACGACAACGTGTATGTGTGAGTCTGGATTTCCAATGGTTCTTAAAGTCCAGTATTGGTAATGGAACAGACTGCAAATGGTGACCTTGTGTGCCAATTTGAGGAGGATTGCATTATCCCCGCTTCAAATCTCTGGGAGGTTTAAAACTTTCTGTGGAGAAGTCAACCATCGCACTAAACGGGCCTATGTATTAAACTTGATATATTTTGCTGTGACACACGCCATTGTACAATGTACATTTATTTTAATTTTAATTTCCAAGAAAGTTATTCTGAATCTAAAGATAGGATAGCTTCCTTGATGTTAACAAAACCCCTTGAAAATAATATCGTAAGTAAAGAATCATTTTATGTTCTGTTTAATATTGTATTAACAATAATTGGTGTCATTAGTGCATCAGAACCAGTGAGCAAGAGTAAATGTACTTCCTTGAATCTAAAATATCGAAGCAAAATAAAAAAGGTATAACTAGGTATTGTTATACTTTCTATTAACTGACATAGGCCTAATTATTTAATTATTAAAGATATAAAATTAAATAATGTAAAGAAGCAATGGACTCAAAGTAGTAACTTAAAGCAAACAAACTATCGTATGTATTTGAATAATCGCCCCGCTTTGAGAGAGGGAGGTGCATTTGAAATGCGCCTCCCTCTAAAACTCCCCATTTAATGACTATCGGGATGGATACAGAGGGCTCGTGCCTCCCTCCCCCCCCCGTCGCTTCCACCGAACAATAAAAAATGAAAGGGAGGGAAGAGGAAAAAGGGAATTGTACCCATGTGTTCAGTGGGTGGATCCAGTAGTGGGCAAAAGAGAGCTCAATTATTTTACCAAATAATTTTTAAAATTTTCTATTGATGACGATGAAAAGAACGCTACAGTCTCAACACCGATTTTCCCAAAAATTTCATAAATCGGGATGTAAAAAACGGCCAAAAGACAGACAGAGACCTAAGCCGGTTTTTTAGTATTTAGCCATTATTATGAGGGGATGGGTGTCTAGGGGATAGGAGCATAGCTCACGTCGGGAAGAAGTCAATAATTTTGTCGAGGAACACTGCTTTGAAAAAGCATTTTTACCATCTGAGAGTGCCAATTTTGTCATTCGTGCGAATGACAAAATATTCTCTGCATCTACTGGAACCGAGCCACATTGCTTGTATTCCACTATTTGCATTCACACCTGGGCTGTGTATATATTGCCTTGGTTTGGCTCTGTAATCATTAGTGGTCGTTGGATTAGTTTGTGCCCTACCTAAGCTGGTCGAACTTTTCGTTTGGGTCTATACCCTAGCTGCACTGATGAGGCCTGGAAGGCTGAAATGGATCCGTCTGCAGATATTGGGATTCCTTCCAGTGGATGCTTAGTTTATTTTGTCATTCCGATCAGATTTTCTCTACTGTTCCGTTTTAATTTTAAATAGTTTTGCATTATGTGGCCGTTTGCTGTTTTATGGGTTTTTCCCATTTGCCTTTTAAAATATATATATATATATACTCAATGAAAAAGACGATGAGATGTCAACGACTTCAAAACATGAATATTTCAACCCGTCCTCGGGTCTTCATCAGCATGTGTGACAAACACAATATAAGTTGGCTATTACAATAATTATGATAAAAAGTATAAGTATAATATGATTGGTCGACATTTTAATAGAATACAATGAACATGGTGATAAGACAAATATATATATATGTATATATATATATAACTTTGTTTATTATACCACGCATGCATTAAAGAATCAAACAGCATTATGAATGATGAGAATAGCAAAACTGGTGATATAAATACATTTTACAGCATAGGCTTTTTTCCCCCTTTTTTTTTGTATTTTTATGAATCGAAATAAAAAATAGTTAAATAAATTTAAAAAAAAGTTAAATATTGTAATTTAAGTAAAATGTTGTGTAGATACTATGAAATTCAAATGTACTTGTAGAGTGGGCCTACTTTCGGAATTTGATCAATCTTAGATGCAGTTTAAACCGTAATAGTATACCGTCAAACCTGAATAGAATCTCATGGGCTAAATCTCGGGAATCACCCTCTTCAGTTGCAAAAGTAAATCTCGTATCAATATTACTTCATTGTATTAACATGGTTAAAATTGAAAAATATTAAACAGAATTTCAAAATTTCATAGTTGAAAAATAAATTCCAAAATTTATACCATTCATTTTGAATG